AATGCTGGCACCCAACATGTGAACTGATAGTTCAAATGTGTTTTTGCAGGACAAGCAATCCAGATCTTGTTATCTGTTCTCTAAAAGCTCGAATAAAAGAATTGGTGAGTAGCAACTTTTTCTTTGTTTCAATACCACCCCTAATAATTCACGTAGACATAATTATACATCATATGACCACCACTCGCCCCCTTCCCGCCCCGTCGCAAAAGTTGGTTGACAATTCTGGTGATAAAATACTGCTTTAATTGCTTACAACTTTTGCTTTTCCTTTGCATCTTACCAGGGAGATAAGAAAACTGACAAGATGAAGTGTTTGATTTGTATGGTACGTAGAGTTCCCAAATCTTTCGATCATTTGTTTGTTACAGCTATTGAAAAAAAATGCCACCTTTTTTTCGCGGAGACGTGTATTTATAGCAGAGAGAAGCTTCTACGATATAACGAGAATTCACCTTTGATTTCCAACCTTCTCTGATTGGTTGACAATTCGCGTTGACAGACATATGAACCAATCAAATCCCAGCGTGGAAAAACGTACAAGTCTTGCCCAGATTTGGCTTTTTTCTGAATTCTGATTGGTTGAGGAAGTGGCGCGATATCGGTCGTCCAATCACAGTGCGTTATGGCCATAAAAGCCAAAGCAATGATGCAATTACGTTCGACAGTCTTTTGAAAGGGATGATCTTATTTCTCCATTTCAGGAACCATACACAAATCCCTTGGCTTCAATTTCTTGTTGGCACGTTCATTGTGAGGAATGCTGGCTTAGAACACTGGTAAGAACTTGTTTTGCTTGTAACAATAGTGGTTTTTCACATGTATCTTTTGGAGAGCTTCCAAGGTTTTGTAGTAAAAGCTCCTTATTTTAATAAGTCATTCTTAAAATCCCCCCGGAACTACAATAGTTGTTGAGGAACACGGGCTGGCTACTTCCAAGGCTCATCCGAACCACGAGAAGATCGAGTCGTTTGCAGAGCCAAGACAGTACCTGTCTCCTTGCCAAGTTATTTTAATTTTCTGAATACCTTAATGCTCTGCTCCTGGGATCAAACCTACAAACTCTCGCTCTTTGGTCCGGCACTCTACCAGCTGAGTTAACTATCCAATATCCCATTGTTCCATCTAGACTTGCCACAAGTCGGCCTCTCGAGTTTTTAAGCGAGCGGAGGGAGCTTTTTACTCCGCTAATTCGCGAGAGGTCGACTTCTCGTCCCATGCCATATTAATTAGACGAAGGACTTTTTTGAAAGTCTATGTTTCATCCGATTTCCAGACTTCTCGAAGTCAATCTTGAAACACCTACAAGAAAATTGCCATTACACAAACCATGTCGTGTTTGACTTATTACTTTTCGAAGTTTGAATATCGAATGAAACACTTTGACTCGTGTTTAATATCTGACTTACTTTGGATGGTAATTCTACCTGGTTTTTGCTTTTTCCAGGGAGCAAAAAAGTTGTGTCCACAGTGCAATATGATAACGTCGCCATCAGATCTCAGGAGAATATACTTGTGATCAGTAAACAATCCTTACAAGTCGTGAATTTTAGCACAAAGTGGTAATGGATACCGGCATAGCACAAAGTGCACTGGATGACAGAATCACTTGTGTGATCTTTAGCACGACCTCATTCTTGTCAAAATATTAAAAGGAAATTGCAAGCCCGACTCAACGCCTTGGACATGTCTAGTTTGCAAGTTTACGTGGCAGCATATCGTTAAAATGATGTCCAGACCATTGTTAATAATCCATGGCATAAAATTACAGAGTAGGAATACATTTTTCGTAACATAGATTGCAACGCACGCTGCATAACTTTGGAAGGTTTTTTCGTGTGTAATTAAGGTACACTATGTCATCGCCTTGCTGTTGTGTGACCGTGACATGAAGTCACACAGATCGCATTGGTGTGTTTTCTTTAAACCAGTTCCTCAGATTTTACCCTTAAACCATATTATGACCAGAATTTTCTTTCTCCATACAATGTCAGTGGTTAATTACACAGAAAAGGTGTGAGAATAAAGGCATTGATGACCAATTGTAAAACGACTGAATTTCTAAACGAATTCTCTTCATAAGTACCGAGTGAAATTTAGAAAATGGTGAGGAGAATTTTCCTCGTGATGCAAGAGCTTTTAAAAGGATAATACCAGATTGCAGCAGACAAAGTTGAAGAAAATTAAATCTCCAATAATATCAAATTGCGTTTTTTAATCGCCTGGTCCCGGCTGTCAAAACTTTGGATAACGCTATCCACCGGATTTTAGGAAAACTAATTGCATTACCCACTGGAAAGAGATTTATCCAGTGGATAGCGGTATCCACGTTTCGAACAACTGGGGCCAGATGACCTGTTGAAGTTTATAAAACAAACGTTGTGGTTGTTATTTATGTCTTAACCTTTTTACTAGCAAATCTAAATTTGTTTTGTCTGCTTTGGAACTTACACTCTGTTTATGGACTTCACATCACCCATATTATGTGAAACAGCTAAAACAGATTTCTGATAAGCAATTTTGTGCAGTTTCAAAGCCAGAGCTTTTCAATGTCACCCGTTTATTGAATTTAAGGTACATTTGTGGGCGTTCCATAGTAGTCTTTTGTGGCTGAATGTCGTATTTGGTGCATTTTTTATCTCCTTAACGTACCGAGTACTGATGAAAATAAAAAGTAGAATCGAAGATGAAATTTATTAACCACATTCGCGTTAAAAATAATGAAAATAAGGACAAAGTATTAAATATTGAGCGTTGTAATAAGGCTTATTTAAGAGAGTGATTCGCCAAGCGTTGGTGATATTTAAATCCATGATTATAGATAACTGTAAAGTAAACAAATTCATCTTTATTATGGTAATTGTTTTGAAGTGGACGGTTTTATAGTTTGTTGGGGACAGAACAGTTGTCTGAAAAATATGATTTGATTTAATATGAAGATTTTTATCGCTTCCCATAAAGGAATTGTTAAACGTTGTAAAATTGAATAAACAAATACCTTTATACCGTTCATCATCAATCTAAGTTCACTGTTGACAAACAATGGGGATCGAGTATTGACAGTATTGGAAAAGTTTTATCGTTGTCAATTCCTGGGGACTTCTTTATAAAAGACTAAACCCTAAACAAGACCTATCTGGGTGTGGCGTAAGTTTTACTTTACCCCTAAGGAAACCATACAGTACACCAATACAGGGCCGTGACGGCTTTTGATATTAGAGCGGTTTTCACTTGACTGTCGTAAAACCAAAACCAAAGTAAATACACTAGCCAACCAAAGGGCGTAGTAAAACCAAAACCAAACCAATTCCTCGATTACTTTCGACAGTCAAGTGAAAACCGCTCTATTTAGGTATTCCTTTGCCCATTACCCTAAGTAATACCTTCATGGGCAAAAATATTAAGTGAGGTCAAAAGCCAGCTAAGTGCTCCTTCAAAAGCTGCAGTTTCTACCCTAAAGCGAGGCAGCTGGTATCACTCACTCTTGTGTGGATTCCGCCGGGGAGGGGAGGGGGGCTCTATATTCACGTGTCTTTTTGCTAAATGGGTTAACACTTCATGTACGACACATCGGTTTTGCTTCATCTGCTATATTAAAAATCCTACAACAGACCTGCACCGCGAGTGTTGGTTCGGATTCAATTAGTTGTGCCGTTGAACTCGTCACTTATCCATCACTTATCATCCACAAATCCATCATGTACAAGTACTACCTGGATGCCTTAGAACATAACTACGACCCAGAGAACCCAAGATCCTGGAAAACCATCTGTCAGTTATGTAACGTTTCACGTAACGTGCCTGTCCGTCTCCGTTGTTGTTTTTAATTGTCATATGAAGTTTTACTGTTTCTTACATGTATTTTAAGCTCTGGGACCGCTGTAATTGGCTCACCGCTGTTGTGGCACCCTGCCTATTAAGCATTTATTATTCATTGTTCAGTAATAGGCGAAGCTAAAAAATAAAACAAAATTATGCCAGGGGCCACTTAGATAAAGCTGAACTCCGCCCACTTTATCAACCTCTTACTTTTTTTTTCTTTGTAGCTTGTGTAGCTCAGAGCATCCTATCCTGTGAAACAAAACTGAACTCAAGGCTGGCACTACGGCAAAGGGCTGATTTTTTATAGGCTTATAATAAATCAGCCCTTTTCCCTGGTGCTAGCCTTGCATCCAGTCTTGTTTCATTTTACACATCAAGTGACGTCTGGCTACAGCATCTCTTTAATTAGAGACCAGTCAGTTTTATTTACGCGTTGCGTGGACCTCTGCATTTAAGCAGTTTATCCTATCCTATCCTATCCTATCCTATACTGAATACAGTAGACAGTCAACAGCCCCGAAGCCTCAGCCCCACCCCCGATCACCCACCTCCTACTAAACGTTAGAGATAAGAGATGAATCTTTTGAATGGCCTTTCTCTCCTTGAGTCTCAGCTCAGTTCTTTTAGTAGATAGAGCGTCCTATGTGATTTCCTAGGTTTATAAATCCTCACTGACCCAGTTTCATCTTGTTGTTGTTGTTTTTTTTTTTGGTAATAACACCCAGCAAATGCGTGCAGCCCTTCCCTATTTGGAGAGGGGGCGCTTATAAGAAGGTGGACTGGTACAAGAAATTTTTGATACAAGAAATATATGAAAATCAGACAAAGGAACTGGGTGGTGAAGAATTAGATGAAAGAGGTAGTTATAGACAAAACTTTTTTCAAGCTTTCTTTTTCGCAACTGCGAAAGTTGGGTCAAAAACTGCGATGATCTTTTTTCACTGGGAAGACATTTTTCTTGCCCGCGCACAGTTTACGCAAAGGAACTGCATTCCAAACATTCCAGCGGTATTCGGGAAGCTGCGTGATGCGTGATTCAGGAATGCTTCACGTAAAGTAACGCTTACAGTCACGGCATCTGCGACACGAGCTTTGCCTCCTTCCCGATTTCAAGGACGATGTATTCTGTGCGTCGTTCGTCATTAGAACCTTAAGTTTTTCTAATTCTCTTGAAACCTAAGTAGACTTGGGTAAATTACAAGTTAAGTGCTTGTAAACAAGAGCATTGTGCTTGTCAAGATCGCAGAATGCGAGTTGGCCGATGTTAGGAGGTGAGTGAAACTGACATTTGAGTTGTACGGTGTACTGTGACGTTTTCTCGAAATTGGTTGGCGTGTAGCTAAAGTTGAGGCTTTTACTTTTCCGTAAAGGTCTGGCTCTACGTGCATCGTGTCTTTTCGCAAATAAAAATCATAGTTATTTTTCTAATTGCTCTTGTATTGCATATAGTTGATCCGAAATTCTTGTCCAAGTGCATGGTGTTTCTGCAAACCACCTGTAGCTAGCCTTGGTATCGAAAAAACAAAATTTAAGCGAGGAAAATGACGTTTTTCCTCTCTGTTCTCTTGTGATCGTGACTGCCTTCCTTTGAAAAGATCTTTCTATTGTAAAGAAGGGATTAGCGACGTAATCAGCCGACACGTACATACTCGTGTACATGTATTTGGAAGTTACTGCTTGAGTCGACCGGCTAGTTCCTCCGACGGTTTTTAGGTGACGCGTTTCTTGTACTGAAGATAACCGTACTTTTGGTAAAATTTCTGCACGTGCGAACACATTGCATTTGTATGCATTACTTTCATTCTTTTCCTCGTGAATTATCAGCGATTTAGCAAAGGGAACGTTGTTGTAATAATAATGATAATTCTAGCTTGAACAGTTGACATTTTATTGGTTTTATCCATTACAGCTTGCAACATTACTGAGTAGCACCATGGTGATGAAGAAGATTTGTTTTAGGGATATTGCATTGAGCTGGATTCCTGTGTGACAACAAAAAGAATGGTAGAGTACAAGATACCGAGTGACTTGACCTCGCCCATTATGGCAAATGCAGTCCATTTGAAAGATTCTGTATTCTATGCCAGTGGTGATGAATCAATCTTTCCTGCCAGTACAGCATACAGTGAATGTGACTCATCATCTGATATGACATCGGTACTGCTTACTGCACGATCTACCAACTCGACAAATCTTTTAGAAGAAAACGTAGCTGACATCTCAGTTAATGACACTACTGCAAGGCAAATTGACCTTAAGGAAGATCTGTCCACAAACAGTGCCTTGATTCCAGGGAATCGCAGTAAGAGAGTGAGCCCTCAGCTGACAAATTTCTTCTCTGAGCAGAGTAGCACTGTGTTTATGCCAATACCCGCCGAGAGTGCTAACAGTGTCACTTCACCAAGATCAACCCCAAGCCCAGGAATTAGTAAGATGCTTCGTAGCTTATCTGATCATCCATCTGAACGACCCTGCACTCCAAATGCATCAACCTTGTATAAGAACACTCTCACACACTGTAATCCTTCAGAACTTGGACAGCTAACGTATGATGAATGTATGGTAAGTGAATGGAATCCTGAAAAGAAAAAAGGGCTTTTTCTAAAAAGGGTTACTAGCCCCTTGAGAGAAGGGATGGGAATTGCGAGAAAAAAAGGAAAGAATTGAGAGAAATGGCTGGGAGTGGTAACTGGAGGAATGGGAAAAGGATCTGAGAAATGGACTGTTGGGTGGAGAGAATAGGATGCTAGGAATTGGGTGAAAGAGGGTGGGAACATAGGTAAAAGTTTATGGAAATTAACGAACTGGCCTGTGAAGTAAGGGGTAAGGAGTCTGAGAAGAAGACTCTTCTTCTCAGAAGAAGTGAGAAGGAGGTTGGATCATTAATTTGCCTTTTTTTTTTTCGAAGCATATACAATTCTCAAACTTGGGAAGGTTGAGCAGGGAGAGGGCTTTTAACTGTCATATGTAAAAGGTTTTGTGAAGGATTTCTTCTGTAATTCCCACCAAAGTAGAGAGAGATCATACACTTGTCATACACTTGTATTTATTAACCCCAGTCTACAGTCTGGTCCTTTTTGTTCAAAAGGTGGATAATGCTATCCATAAATAGAGATATTGGTTTATTGGTTTCACTAATACATATCCACTGGATATTGATTTATCCTGTGGATAGCACTATCCAACATTTGAACTACCGGGGCACTTTTGCTGAAATATAAGCCTGTTTGCCTTTTTTTGTGAAGCTCACTGTTTGTAAAATTGTTTCTTCAACAATGCACAGTTCTTCACCCAATGGGCCAACTCCTTTCTTCAGCACAGTCAAGATAAGTTCTTAATCACAGACATAGCAAGAGACTTGGGAGATGGGATCACCTTACTAAGTTTGGTGGAAATGTTAGGTGAGTAAATCTCAGTTGCAGTAGAGTAAAGAAGTGTGTCATGACATCACAAGAACAAAATTTGTGAAATTGTTGGATTGGTTGGCATATCTAGATAGAACAAGATGAATAATCCCCCACCCACCCCTGCTAAAAATCTGCCCGTTAGTAATTAGATTGGTGGGAAAATATAAGTACTGTTATGCTTCAATGACTTCATACAAATCCTTCTAAACATTTATGAAGGGGTGGGTGGGTGGACCCATGCTCGCCTCTCTAAATCCACCCATGATGAGCTTACTGTGATCAATATTGTGCCTCTCCATCCCTGCGTTCATTTTTATTTGTAACACTCTATAAGGATTTGTCTACACTGCGCAATCTTTACATTACCAGCTACAAGGTAATCTGAGGTGTGCAGAGCTCAAAGGTTACTGCTTTTCTTATTTTTGTTTTCATTTTGTTTTGTTTTCTTGTTTTGTTTTTTTTAATTTTGCAACACAGTTGGAGAGTATCCTCCTCAGATCCACATCAAACCAGCTCTGGATGTTCAGAAAATGGAGAATGTACAGACCTGCCTTAATTTTTTAGAGTATTACAATGTGTCAGTTAATGACATTACTGCAGAAGGTAAAAAAAATTCCAGTTTTCTTATCTTCCAAAACGCTCTCTCTATTTGTAGCTTTTATTTCAGTGGTTTGGGAGTTTTGGGAGTTTTCCTTTGCAAATTAAAAGTTAGGCCAACATTTGAGAGAAAGTGAGTTTAAAAAGAAATCTCCTTCATGGTCCAAAGTGTGCTATGGAGAGAAATTGTGGTTGATGATCGTGGAATTTCCATCTGCAATTTCTGCTGGAATTCCTGCCCCGCATTTCGTTACCTATTTTAATACCTATACCATGTCAAGGCATCTCTTTTGAACAGACCCATTTGGTTTTTCCTATTCTGTGAACCAAATCATCCCAGATAAAGTCACTTGACACTTATACAATATTTCTGATTCAAGTGTTTGTTTTATTTCAGACATTGTCAAAGGAAATCTTAAGGTTGTTTTAGCCTTGTGTCACTGTCTCTATAGACATTTTGGTTCTAGTCGAGGTAATTGCAGTCCTGGCAATATGCTTTAATCCTGAAATGTTCAGTGTTTTCCGTGCCCCTTTTATACATTTTCAAAACTGTATCTATTTTCATTGTGGCAGAAAATCATCAAGTTCACCATGTTACAGAGGAAGGTCATTTGGCCGCACTGTTTGGCTGGGTATCATGGATGACTGGCAAACAAGTCACAGATTTTCAGAGGTAAAGTATAAATAAAGGGTGACAAACCTTCCTATTTATGCTTAATATAATCATGGTTAAATGTCATGGGACAAATTTGCATTTTGGGGGCATTTTTAATCACACATGCCAAACCCTTCCTCCACCCTACAATTAAACAGCAATGGACACTTGTATTCAGAACTTATTCCAAGTTTCAACCATGTATAAGGTGGGGAGGGCGGGGGGAGGGGAGGGAGAACTGTAAGATATTATCCAAAAGGAACCACTGTTTTGTGAGGGCACCCAGAAATTACATGTATATGTAATTATGAATGTTGTATTACTGTTCCAAGGACTTTTTGTTCAGGATTGTAGTTACATTTATCAATGTTCATCATAAAACTTCTAATTTTTCTGAAAGCCTTGTAATATTTCCCAAAGGATACCAAAGCATTAAAAATGACTTCTTTTTGAACTGTTAGCTTTTTTATTTCTTTACTGATTGACCAATTTACATGTTATCACTAACTGGAAATTGATTTCAGTAATTAGATTTCTCTCAATAACGTGAAGAAACCACAGTTTCATAACAAGCGAGACTCGTTAGTTTTAATTTATTTTGTGCAGTCTGTTTGTTGTCTCCGTTTTTTTTTTTTGAAATTTTTAATTTCTTTCTGTTGTCAGTTTTCAAGATGGAACAGTGCTATGTTTGTTAATAAACACTCTTTTCGAGGATGCAGTTCCCAACTTGGTAAGTGAGATTAAAAAGATCTAAAATTGATGGTTTTCCGAAGGGATTGTTAGTGGACCAAAAAGCTTACAGTTAGTGCGAAGCGGTAAGCCTTAATTGCGCAGAGGAAAGTGCACCGACTGCTAAGCGAGAGAAATTACACAATAAATACTAAGCTGCCGAGAAATAAGCAGTGGCTGCTAAACGCCTAAAAAAATCCACAAAGGATACTAATTGCTGGGGAAATGCGCAATGGCTGCTAAACGCCTGTAACACACAACGGATACTAAGTGCTGGGGAAATTCGTAGTGGCTGCCAGATGGTAAAACTACGCAAAGGGTACTTAGCGCTGAGTCATTGCGCAATTGCGCTATGTCTGCTAAAGGTTAAACGCAGTGGATGCTGTGCGCTGGGAAAATGCGCAGTGGCTGCTAAACGCGACAAAAACGTAACAGCAGCTAAGTGCTGGGGAAATGCGTTAAGCGCAGTAGCTGTTAAACGCCAGAAATTCGCAACGGATGATAAGGGCTTTGGAAATGCGCAGTGGCTGCTTAACGCCAAAAATACACAACGCTGGGGAAGTGCGCAGTGGGTGCTTATCTCGATAAAAACGCAACAGAAGCTAAGTGCTGAGGAAATGCAATAAGCGCAGGGCTGCTAAACGCTTTAAATAGCTGTACGCTGCGAAAATGTGCAGTGGCTGCTAAACGCGACAGAAACGCAACAGCAGCCAAGTGCTGGGGAAATGCGTCAAGCGCAGTAGCTGCTAAACGCCAAAAATTCGCAACGGATGATAAGGGCTTTGGAAATGCGCAGTGGCTGCTTAACACAAAAAATACGTAACGGATGCTAAGTGCTGGGGAAATGCGCAGTGGGTGCCAAACGCGATATAAACGCAACGGAAGCTTATTGCTGGGGAAATACGCAGTGGCTGTTAACGCCAATAATACGCAACGCATGCTAATCGCTTTGGAAATGCGCAGTGGCTGCTTAACACCAAAAATACGTAAGGAATGCTAAGTGCTGGGGAAATGCGCAGTGGGTGCCAAACGCGATATAAACGCAACGGAAGCTTATTGCTGGGGAAATACGCAGTGGCTGTTAACGCCAATAATACGCAACGCATGCTAATCGCTGGGGAAATGCGCTGTGGGTGCTTAACGCTTTAAATACACAACAGATGCTAAGCGCTGGGGAAACGCACGAAGATACGCAACAAATTCTTAGCGCGAGAAAATGCGCAGCGGAAGCTAAACGCTGGAAAAGGGCTCGTTCAAGTAAGGAAATCATGTCTTGAATTTGTTCTTACAGATATCTTTGTATGCGTTGTAACATTGATTTCAGGTCTTGCAATTTGGTTCACCTTTCGAAAAAGTCAGTCTTGTACTGCAAGTGTCATCCGAAAAACTGGGCTTTTTTTCAAACTTAAGAACAGAAGATATAACACAGCTGAGGAACAGAGAACAATTTCATAACTATCTAGAATCACTGTACCTATTACACTCCAATAGGACGAAAGGAGTGCTTAATACGTCAGACCAGACCAACTTAAAACGGGAGATTAAGAGGCTACAACTTAGAGAACAAAAGCTTAAAGAGCGGCAAGGTTCTGAGTTGACTTATCTTGGAGAACTGAGTCAAAATAAATCCAGTTTTGCAACGGAGAAGCGAGAACGGTCTCAAGAAATCCCTACAGTGGATATAAACAGAACAAAACAACTAGATGAACTAGATGTAGTCTCGCCAACAGGGAGTAATCCAAGGACAATGTGGCACAACCAAAGTTTGACAGCTAATACAAAACGAGAACTTGATGAACTGGAAGAAGAGCTACGGCTTTTAAAACTTGAATGTAGTGATAATAGTTATGACACCAGAAGATATTGGACAGAGCAGCCGGGGCAGTTTTCCTTCAACGCTACTTTTTCGCTTGGCTTACCAACATCAAATTTGCCGCGTCAACTGAGGCAAACAAATATTAGGCAAGAGCTTAAAAATTTGCATCGCGGAAATCCGGTAATCGCGCAGTTGGACAAAAGGGCTCAGAAAACTGTTGGAAATACACATAGCAATGTGGATACTTCTTCAATGCGTGATGTACTTAACAGCGACCGTGAAAACGGAAAACTGCCGTTTGGGGGATGTTATCTTAGTGAGCCTTCAAATGGATTAGAAAATTCGGAACGAAGGAATTTAGATCTTTCATTTGACGAAAGTTCTGTTTTCACGGAGTATCCTATCCTCCCTTCCTTTCCTCTACAAAGGTCGTCTCCACCTTTGGTTAATTCAAAGAAAGTAAAGCGCAATGGTCATGCGCTAATTCCTGAGCCATCTTTGGAAACAAAAGAAATTAGTAACCTGTTTGATCTCGACTTCTCTGATTTTGATGCTAGAATAAGTCGTGGAGGCGGAGATTCAGCTATAAAGCGAATGGTAAGAGCTGGGAATCGATCCAAACTTAACAGCAATTCAAATTATGGGTTAGATGCTGGTCTTTCTTCAGGTTCGGCTTTAGCAAATCCAAAGGACAAAGTGGCAAAGTCTGCAATGGAAATTCCTCTTACTTCAGATAAAAGAGAACGCTTTGATGCGTCTGGCAGAAAATTAAGACGTGGTTTAGATGGGAAACTCTCTGACATTTCAAATGGAGATGACAAAATGCCAAAGCAACCTCATTTTGTAAGTTCTATCTCCCAACGAGACCAAAGAGAAAGTTCGTGTTTGCGTGGAGGCCAATCACAGCGTGAGTTTGCTGGCACTGAACTGTCTTCTACCATGGGTGAAACGAATGCAAATCATCAAGTAACCAGCGGTTTGTCAAGTTCCTTCGCGGCTGGAAACGACAAAGAGGATTTAATCGCTACGTCGTTAAGGTCTTTACCGTCAGGAAGGTCGACTACGTATAAGAATGAGGAAACTGAAAGATCTCTTTCCAAAGAAACACCTTTCGGGAAGATTTCAAGACAGTCAAGAGAACCAGTTAAACAGCTTCAAGAGAGCGTTTCAGAGGAAAAGCGGCGACACAGGGAGCAAGTTCTGGCCACGAAAACCTCACGAAAAAATCAACCGTCTTCGACGAAGACGCATTTACACGCTTTGACGGCTCTAATAAGATCTAGCTCTAGAAACGCTGGTGCAGCGTGCAGTGAGGAAGATTAGCAACGATATTTTGTAGAAAACCTGTATTTAACTTCCGGTCTTACGCGAGTGTGTAATTTCGCTAGTTGTTATTTTGAAAAGCGAGTCTCCTGGACACTTGGAGTCTGTCGTCGGTGCTCTTTCAGCTTCTTTCGTGTGCTGTCAGTGACGCGAGAGGCTGTCGACCACTGGCCTACGTGCTCGGCGACTCTGAAACGTTTTTAAAGTTTTTAGGAAGTTGAGACATTAAATATCAAGTATTCATGTATAGATTTCATTTCACATATTTGAAAGAGTCTTATTATAATAGCATTATATTGATAGACAACAAGTATTCAGAATCATTCCTTATGCTTTCTCCCTTTAGAAAAGTCATATTGATATTTTTTGATATGTTTTCTAGCGTAACAGTTTAGTTCTTAATTAGACTTTTATATCTCAATCAATCAATCAATCAATCAATCAATTATTATTATTATTATTATTATTATTATTATTATTATTATAGCTAATGGGGAGGGGCGCTTTCAAAAGTTATAAAATATATCAATTATTGTATAAAAAATAGATCTCTGGATGTTATTTTCCATATTTAGTTTCTACAAGAGACTATAAAGGGGACAGAGAGGGCATCCCCCATATACACCCTATTCCATAGGTAATTCGTCTCGAGTTATTTTTAGAATCGGGATAAAGTTACCTCGCGCGAGGGGTGGATGTTTCGTGGAGGTTTCGCATGACTAAACGTCGTGCAAAACATGTCGGGCGAAAGGCAATGAAAGCGTAAAAAGATCGAGAGCATTCCTGAATATTGAAGCAAATGAGTCGGCGCTCACCTGGGGAAAAGGAATCGCTGGACTCTTTGACAACCCGTGAAATCAGTTTAACTCGAAATTGTCGTAACCTCAGTGCTGTAATAAAATGAGAAATTTCGCCGGTCTATTGAAACCGGTCCTTTCTACAATTAGGGAGTTTAAGATCCAACGACACGGACGACAACTAGAACGTCAAAAAAACAATAGGTTTAATTAGCAAAACAACAACTTCGCACGTGCAACACACTTTTTTGTTCATTTCTTTCCTGTTTTTGCACGACTACGACGTGAAAATGCCTAATTTCGCGTTCTATTGAGGATGTAAACAAGCAACGACGAAATTTTATTTCTCTTTCTGAGCTTGAATATGGTCCCTTGAAATTCAGTTTCAGGAGGGTTCGCCTACAATTGACAAAGTAAGTGGGTAGGAATAATCGCTATAAAGACTGAAAAAACTCAAATTCACTTTTTAAGCGACGTTCTTGTCGCCGTCGCGCCGTTGGATCTTAAAGTCCCTAATAAGGCAAGTAGGACGCCAAGTGTTATTTTTGTTGAATAATAAAAGACTAATAAAGGAATAAATATCAAACCAGAAATTGCTCTCTTCAAACTGTAAATTATAAATGATCCTGAGAGAATATTCAGTGTGTTAAGGATTTCCCTGCTGTACTGTTAGCTCTATACAAGAGAGGAAGGGCGATTCTTTTTTAATTTCCGTTTCGCTGACACAGCTTTCGCAGAAATCTCGCTGTAGTCGTTTTCGTCGACAAAAGGAATAGCAAAATCGCTCTCCACGTCTTCCCCCATTTTGTTCCGCGTCAATTCGTGGAGGACGCGTGGCTCTAGCGTGGGTCGTCCACGCGGAATACATTCGCGCTATGTGATTGGCTGTTGTCCAATCCCCCTTGGGATCTGCGGTTCTAAAAATAACTTGAGACGAATTACCTATGGAATAGGGTGTATATGGGGGATGCCCTCGCTGTCCCCTTTATAGTCTCTTGGTTTCTATTATTCAGTTTTTTTGCTTGATAGTTTATTGTAAAGATGAGTACAAATAGTTCCTATATAAAACAGCAATTATTAAATGAAAATTTTAATCAAAAGCTTGAAATTCGAACTTTTGACATGATTCTTTCTAGACGCAGTTCCAGCTTTCACTCACAAGTTTAAGCTTGATCACTTTTGAGACTTGTCACGTATTCCACTCCAGAAATACCATAACTTACCATAATGCTCTTTCTTTGTTTGTCACTGCAAAATTTTGCATAAGCATTGTCTTCAGTTTCTCTTGGGAGTTAAAATAGCCCCAATAGAAACTGGAAACAATGCTCATGCAAAATTTGGGGTGACAAACAAAGAGCATTATGGTATGTTATGGTTTTTTCTGGAGTGTTCAAAGGAAGTGAGGCTGGAGGTGACCTTGTTTTGGTTGAAACCCCTACTGCTTCTGAAATGTAAATCATGCTCTTCTTTATTTTTGTTTATTATTATCATTATTATTATATTATTTTGTTTTCATGTTCTTAGGCATATTAATGAGGTTTCTATCAAAAGAAGGTCACTGCCTGCCTCGCTCCCACTCGAAGGCTAGGTTCCTCAGTACACCGTACTCAAATGTTTTTCACCAGACGTCACCAGTCCTTGTTCGTACGCGGCGAGTGTGGAATCTTGGGAATGTTTATTCTCTGTTTTCCCCGAACCTTTCGAATATAGAATGTTTTCGCATGACGTCACGGCGGCCATATTGGTGTCCCAAAACAATGAAACGGCCGCCATGTTGGTGTCCCAAACCAATACTCTGGGAGTTGAACTCTTTTCTTATGCAAACGCTTTTTTTTGTTCCAATAAATTTGCATAGATGCTGGCCACGTGAGTTTAAACACTCTATAGCGCCTGCTGTTTCGCCGGGTTGCACTTCTCGCTCGCTCGCTTCGCTCATACCAAGTAACTGAAGGTGATCGTGCTAAACCCTCTTCTCGGTGTTTCATGTAATATATCAAACATGAGATGCAGTGTTTCATCACCAGATGAAACACCGAGAAGAGAGTTGAAAATACGACGCGCAGCGGAGTATTTTTGACGAACTTCGAGGTGTTTCATCTGGTGATGAAACACTGTGTCGAATGTTTGATATTTCTTCTCAAACAAAATCATTTTTGAAGGAGAAATTAAGGATGCAAATACTAAGCAGTGTTTCATCCGATTTCCAAACACTCATTAAACATTAATTTCCTTTGTATTCTCTTAATGAATTATTAATGAGTTTGAGAACTGGTGATGAAACACTGCATCTCATGTTTGATATATTACATCAAAACCGGAAAGGGAAGTAAATATGAAAACCCGAAAAACCACCTTTCTTTTAAACAAAACCCGAAACTATATATGTTCACAAAATGACAAACTAATATTGAACCCACTGAAACCGAAACATCGTAAATTTTAAGAGAGAAAAAATCGAAATGTTGGGAATTGTGCGCCAATAGTGTGCGTACATATTTCGTACTATATTTTTATCCCTTTTAGTTCTTTTTCAAGTTGATGGCAACGTTGGTTGCTAAATAATTAGCTCATGATCTCCGATAAGTGTTCAAGGAATAGTCACGAAGTGAACCGTGATAACTGATAAGCTATATTTGGGTTTCGTGGAAATAATACTAAATGTCAGTCACTTTATAATAATAAAGGTTAGGTTTCAGGTGTATTGGGGGAGTCGAGGGGGGGAAGATCACGCTATCAAAACCAACTTGTGCCGAAAATATCTGTGACTGAGGAAGTTGCGAAAACTGTGACTTTGGGATTCGTTATTGTGCATTAAACTACATCAAGTGAATTGTCGTGGATTTCTATGATTACGGGGGCGATTCCTGACAGAAAAACTGGTCTTAAAATGGCTTAAAACCTGCAAATTCGAAAACCCTTTTCCGCCAAGCTAGTTACCGTTTTTTAACCCTGTATTCATAAAAGATATGCAAACATGGTGTTAATGAGTGTCTTAATCTTTGTAAAATGAAGGCTGAGTTTTCAGCCCCTATTTCCCTGGCAAAAATAATAATAATATAATCCTTAAAAAGATTATATTGAAAGATGAGCAGATGTTTGGGTATAATTTTAGGCGGTAGAAAATTTCGCAAGTCTTGTTCAAAGGCAGTTTGAGTTTGTTGCAGCTGCGAAGAAGTTCGAAAATTGTTTGTCAAAATTTTGTGTCATTATTCGAAAAGCACGCGTCAGTAAATTATTCTTCCCTTTCTTGTTTTTCGTGAAGGGTCGCTGAAGGTTTCGTTGTTCGCTTTTCTTAACATAATGACGTTTTCAACAGTTCGCTCGGTAGAGTAGGAGGACCGTAGGATCTAACAACGCTTTCAAGCAAGGTTTTGAAGGGTAAGAGTTCTTTTTTTTTTTGCTAACCTCTCATTTATTTATTACACTTTTCATTTTTCAACTTCAATTTCGACTTCAAATCTCGATGAGTTCTGCGAAGTAAACTTCACAGCCCCACTTTCCATCTTCCACCGGAGTTACAAGTAGCGGGAAAGAAGATGTGTCGGGTATGCTCAAAATGGGCATGTGAAAAGGTGCAGAAATTGACATTTTAATTTTTCATTATTTAGCTCTATTTCTCATGTGGTTCTGGATTTCTGGCTGGTTCTTCGTCGCTTTAGCTGCGGCTGGAAACTGCATAGTAATATACCTAGTCGTTAAAACTCCAAGCCTGCAGACGAATACAAACTGGTTTGTACTCTCCGTCGCTGTATCTGACATGTGCGTGGCTTTGACGTTCTTTCCACCGTTATTTGGCCTCATTTTTCTGGGTCTCACCTTCGACACAACGCACGCTGGGGCATTCTTCAAAATCAGTTCCACATTCATGTACTGCTCCAACGCGAATCTTTTCGCCATGACCATGGATCGCTATATCGCCGTTACAAGACCTCTGAGGTACGTGGAATTGATCGCAAAAAAGGTTATCTTTGGTCTCATCGCTGCCGCCTGGGTCACGCCATTTTTACTCTTCTCACTTCCTGCCATTTTCACCAATAACCACAACCCAGGGTATACCATGTTCGTGGAGGTCTCGAGTATCATCATTTTCCACATTTTCCCGTTGGTGGCTTTTGTTGTCGTAACATACCATCTCCTTTACTTTGCCAACAAGCTTGCCCGAGAAACAAGGAAAATGGTCGCCCAGGTGCGCTTCAATCATGCAGATGACGAAGTTAACGTACCACAGGCACGCGATCCATCCGGCTCAAGCAAGAGAAGGACAACCGCCATGATCCTCCTGATCATCACAGCCTTCAACATCACATACCTTGGAAGAAACTACCAATGCATTTGCCTTTTGACCGAAGCCTGT